TAAAATCAAATGAAAATAGTAATTAAATCTGTCTCTTATACACATCTAGATGTGTATAAGAGACAGGTTTTTAATTACGAATATTTTAGTTTTTTAAAATAATTTTTTAATTTAAGATTTTTATTTTATTTTACATATGAGTATACAATTATTAAAAATTAATTTTTATTCGAAAAAAAAACGAACGAATTTTGTAAATGTGCGCCGCAAGCAAAATTATATAATTTTTTTTTTTCAAACAGCAAGAATATGCAGCATCATTTTTCTACTTTCAAACGCTCCTCTATATTCCTCCCTTACTAACAGTTACAATAAAAATACAGTTAACACTTTTATCTTTACTTATAATACATATGTATGTATGTACACGTAAATAAATACTAATAACACAATACTGTTACCAAGATTAACACCAGCCAAGCACTGTTAACAAAATAATACTGTAAGTAATTTAACATTTCTGTACAGCGCTGTGTATCCAACAAAAGTTGACATGGCTGTAAAATATGTGAAGCTGTTAATAACGGTATTGCTTCACTGTCCGCATATACATATGTTGTTGAACATTTTTTTTATTTGGTTTGCTATGTGCGAATGACCCAACAATTTGTATTTAAACCGGTCAAGAGCATAATATTTTATTAACAGCTGTGTACAAAATGTATGCTACACAACAGAATAGCTTCAACTCCCGATACGCGCTCATTYTGATCACTAACTCGGTCGCTTCCACTCTCGCAAATTCCTAACCAACTCATTCAGCTACCACAACATCCGCACCCTTAAATATCCCATCTTTAATTAACTTTCATTTCCATTACACGCATAATTTTGGTATATAAACGAGCAAAATGTTAAATGATGCTGAAAGGAATGTATTAAAATTAAAATAAAATATTAAGGAAAAACAAAATCAAAAAATCTATAAAAAAAACATTACATTTTACTTCAAATAAACAATTGTTATTGATTATTTTAGATAAGTAATCCGTTAATTGCCCAGCATCACTTAACATTTCGTTTTGCGCATGCTTTCTATTGACATTTAAATTTAGTTTTTAAAAAATATTCATTTCAATTAATCCCACAAAAATTTATTTGTCCTTTTTGCCTTCTGTTTGTAAAAATGTATGTAGCTTGTTGCTTTCTTTGGTTGTAGTTGTAAAATAATATTTTCATTTGCATAGGTTTTAAGCTAAAGTATTTACTGAAGATTTTGATGTTGTTGTCTTTYTTTCAAAAACGAAGATTTGAAAAATGTAGAAGTTTAAAAATTGTTATTTTCAAAAGCCGTTGCAAATACAGGGTGTAATGAGAATATATTGAGAAACCAAATTGCTTTTTCARTACCTGTTCAGAGATCACTTGTCTGACTTTCACAATTGCGGTATATTAAAGCGTAGAGTWTGCAGGTAATATTGTCAATATAACAGAAAAATAATCATGGATTATTCTCTTCTCTTTTGGAAATATTTTATACATAAATTTCAGTGATAAGGCAGCATAAGTAAATGAAAATTGATGAAWGGTAGTTAAAAATATCGAGAATCGATACACAACGTTTCTCATTACATAGAGTGCRCACGATTACGTTTATTGTGTCAACGGTTAGTCATGGTATGAAAAAAATCAATTCGAATTCAACGGTTAGTGATGTTATGAATAAAACTAATTCAAATTTAGTATGGATTTATTAAATACGAAATATTTCTAAATAGTAGACATTGTGGGACGAAAAATTTAAAATTTTTTTAAGCAGCATTTAGGTAAAGTTTCATATAAAAATTTATAAAAACTTAAAAACAACATCAAAATTTTCGTAAGTACAGCAAGCTGATGTGAAATGGTACATAAAATTTAAAAATTTTAATAAAGGTTCAGTCTTTGTATTCGTCAATTAAGATGAGTATACATTTTAACTTGTAAATAAATTAAAATATATTGAATAAAGTCCAACAACTATAAAATTACCACTTCACTTGAGCTTTGTCCTCCGTCCGTCTGTTCAGCATTTTTAAACACTGCCGCATGTCCTCTAAATGTTACTGATTAATTAAGAAACACAATGAAATATGTTAACATATTTTTTCTTTACCAATTCTTCGAATTCGAAACAAAACAGTACCACCAAGATGGATACTCGAACCCACCGACAAGGCTTTCGCACAAGGGTCCGACGCTAAAGTTGAATGCAAAGCTGACGGCTTCCCTAAACCACAAGTGACATGGAAGAAAGCTGTTGGTGAGTAAATACAGATGTGTGAAAAATAATTAAAACTAACGCCCAAAATTATCTCAGGTGATACACCCGGTGAATACAAGGACTTGAAGAAAAACGATAACATACGCGTAGAAGAAGGCACACTACATATTGATAACATCCAGAAGACAAATGAAGGTTATTATCTCTGCGAGGCTATTAATGGTATTGGTTCTGGACTTTCGGCCGTTATTATGATAAGCGTACAGGCACCACCAGAATTTACCGAGAAATTGCGCAATCAAACTGCACGTCGTGGCGAACCAGCGGTCTTGCAATGCGAAGCTAAAGGCGAAAAACCCATTGGCATCTTGTGGAACATGAATAATGTGCGTTTGGACCCCAAGAATGATAATCGTTATACGATTCGTGAGGAAATACTCTCCACCGGTGTGATGTCTAGCTTGTCAATTAAACGTACCGAACGTTCAGATTCTGCGCTCTTCACTTGCTTGGCCACCAATGCATTTGGCTCAGATGATGCTAGCATTAATATGATTATACAGGAAGTGCCCGAGATGCCTTACGCTTTGAAGGTTTTAGACAAATCTGGCCGTTCCGTGCAATTGAGCTGGGCGCAACCTTACGATGGCAATTCACCACTTATCCGTTATATTATCGAATTCAAACGCTCACGCGCATCTTGGGACGAAGTAGATCGTGTTATGGTACCCGGACATACAACTGAAGCGCAAGTACAGAAACTAAGTCCTGCTACAACCTACAATATACGCATCGTGGCCGAAAATGCTATTGGTACATCGCAATCATCAGAAGCTGTGACAATCATTACCGCCGAGGAGGCACCATCTGGCAAGCCACAAAATATTAAAGTTGAACCAGTGAATCAGACCACACTGCGCGTTACCTGGAAACCACCAGCACGATCTGAATGGAATGGTGAAATTTTGGGTTATTATGTTGGSTACAAACTATCGAACACCAATTCTTCATACGTTTTCGAGACTGTTAACTTTTTGACTGAAGAAGGCAAGGAACATAGCTTAGAATTGAACAACTTGCGTGTGTATACCCAGTACTCTGTTGTGATACAAGCTTTCAATAAGATCGGCGCTGGTCCATTGAGCGATGAGGAGAAACAATTTACTGCTGAGGGCACTCCAAGTCAACCACCAAGCGACACTGCCTGCACCACATTGACCTCGCAAACAATACGCGTCAGCTGGGTGAGCCCACCACTCGAATCGGCCAATGGTGTGATCAAGACCTACAAAGTGGTGTATGCGCCTAGCGATGAGTGGTATGGTGAGTATCCAGGAATGATAAAAATGTGAAATTATATTGTTTAAATATATTTATCTTAAAAAAAAAATTATTTGGATGAATTATTACTTTTTTTTATTTTGCTAATTAATTGTGCTCTCTCGCCAAAGATGATACCAAACGTCACTACAAGAAGACTGCTTCTTCCGACACCGTTTTACATGGCCTCAAGAAATTCACCAACTACACGATGCAAGTGCTCGCCACCACCGCTGGCGGCGATGGCGTACGCAGCGCACCCATCCACTGTCAAACCGAACCTGATGGTGAGCGAAATGCAAAAATTATTTGTTTTAAGACTAGTAAACATGTTCTCTCTCGCATTGCAGTTCCCGAAGCACCCACCGATGTAAAGGCTTTGGTTAAAGGCCACGCTGCTATACTCGTCTCATGGCGTCCACCAGCACAACCCAATGGCATCATACAACAATACACTGTCTATTCGAAAGTCGAAGGYGCCGAGGGTGAGCCTAAGAGCCAGAAAATACCACAACATCAAATGAGTTTTGAAGCAGTCGATTTGGAAAAGAATAAGCCATACGAATTCTGGGTCACCGCTAGTACCAACATTGGCGAAGGACAACAATCTAAGAGCATTGTAGCGATGCCCAGCGACCAAGTGCCAGCTAAGATTGCCTCATTCGATGATACTTTTACTGCAACATTCAAGGAAGACGCCAAAATGCCATGCTTAGCTGTTGGTTCACCACAACCCGAGATCACATGGAAGGTTAAAGGTGTTGAATTTACCAGCAACGATCGTATGCGCGTCATGGCTGATGGCACATTGTTAATTAAAACAGTTAATCGTCAAGATGCCGGTGAATATTCGTGTCATGCTGAGAACTCGATTGCAAAAGATTCCATTACACATAAACTCATTGTTCTCGCGCCACCACAATCACCACAGGTATCACTTTCGGCCACCACAACYGATTCGTTGACTGTCAAAGTGAAGCCACATGAGGGAGACACCGCGCCACTACATGGTTACACACTGCACTATAAGCCAGGTGAGCTCGCATGCAGGTTTTTGTAAGCTATGTATATTAAACTATTTTTGAACAGAATTCGGCGAATGGGAAACTGCTGAGGTCTCTGTGGACGCACAAAAATTCACTATCGAAAATCTACTTTGTGGCTCACGCTATCAAGTCTATGCTACCGGTTTCAATAAGTGCGTATTGTGGAATAAACAATTTAAAACTTTAGCTCTTAATTGCTTTTCCGAATCCACTTTTAGCATCGGCGCTGGCGAAGCTTCGGACATTCTGAACACACGCACCAAAGGTTATAAACCCAAACTGCCAGAGAAACAACGTTTCATTGAGGTTTCATCGAACTCGGTTTCACTGCACTTCAAAGCCTGGAAAGATGGCGGCTGCCCCATGTCTCACTTTGTTGTAGAAAACAAAAAGCGGTTGGTGTAACTGCAACATAATTTTTTGTTTTCTGTTTTTTTCAAAATTGTTCGTCTACGGTAACTGAAACTTCTCTTTCTAGCGAACATGCTGAATGGAATCAAATTTCCAATAATGTCAAACCCGATAATAACTACGTTGTCTTAGATCTGGAGCCTGCTACCTGGTACAATCTCCGTATTACCGCACATAATTCCGCCGGCTTCACGGTTGCCGAATATGATTTTGCCACTTTGACGGTGACTGGAGGTATTTACTTTCTGTTTTCCAATTTGCATTTGTATATATTTGTATATTCAAATACATACATACATATATTTACATAGTTAATGATTGCCTTTACGAGCGCACATATGTAAATGCATGGATACATATGTATGTATGTGTCCAATGTACATATGTTTAACGAAAAGTCGTAAGAGTTTTCGCATTGCTTTTGTACATATATAAAATAGAACTACAGTAGAGAGTGGAAAATGCTGCAGACCTAACTAATATTATTTAGTTAAAAATATTTAAGTAATCTAAAAAGTATCAAAAATGCCTAGGAAAAAAAATGTGCTGAGCTGAATAAAAATTGACAACAAGAAAAAAATTCAAAAATTCAAAAAAATCTGAATTTTGTTTAAATTAAAAGATATTATAAAATC